GACACGTGCTCTACCATTGAGCCACATACCCAGACAGTATCTATTTTTTACCCCAAATTTAAAGATAAACATAGAAAAGGAAAGCCATTTGTCCAGGGTTTCATAGTTAATGGTGGAGCTGGGGCAGGTATCCAGGTGGTCAGGATGAGAACCTGGGTTCTTATCCAGTCTACTCAGCTAGGGAGCTGGAGTATATACCTGCTCCTGGTTGGGTCCCTTCCGTGAGTCTTAGGATGAGTTGTAGTTCTGCTCATGCCCCCTTCTCAAGCCAGATCCACCTTTTCTGTCCCCTTACTGGCTGACACTAGTCCATGGTCACTAAGAACCCCAAGGCCCAGAGGCATGATCACTTCCAGCTTCCTGCCCAGGCCCACCTACACACCTGTGGAGGTGAGAGCTCACCTACCCCTTACATTTGCTCAGTCTCCAGGGACAGGTGCGCTCACTGCTCTGTCCACAGTTCATACCTGGGTGCAAGTCCAGACCTCAGCCTTTCTGCTGCCCTGGACATCATGGTGTGGCACCAGTCACACTCCTCGACCTCATTGCCCTCTCCCTCTTTGCCAGGTCTTTTTCTCTCACATCTTGAAGACTCCCCCTCCCTGGGTCTCATCCTGTTGTAGCTCCTCTGCTATCTCCCTGCTCACCAAAAGCTAAACTTTCAAGACTGTCTCTTCTTGCTGTTGACCTTGCTCATTCCTGCTTGTTTTTTACACGGCTCCATTTGGTTTCCTTCCCACAACTGCTCTGAACCTCTCCCATCAAAGACACCCAAGTCCTCTCATGGTCACTAGCTTCCTCTTCATGTGACTTGACCTCCATGCATGAGAAGCTACCATGGGCCTTTTGAACTTCCATCTCAAACTGCCTGGATGCCACCCTCTCCTCCCCTCTGGTCACTCCTCAGTCCCTGTGACAGGCTTCTTTTCCCCAACACCCTCCTTTACCAGTCAGTGCTCCTCACACAGGACAATAGGCCTGTGGACCTGTCCTCCTCTCCCTGTGTGCTCCCTGGAGCTCATCACACTCCATCCCTGTGCTGATGCTCCCTGAGCTCTGGGCCTCTGGATCCTACTGGATAGACACATTCACAACGTCCAGGCACTCTCACCTGAACAGGGCCCTCCCTGAATGTGTACTCTTCCTCCATCTCAGGAAGAGCATCTCTGTTCACCCATCCCCCAAGCCAGAAGCCTGGGAATGGTTCCAGTGAGCCCCTCTCCACATTTCATCTGACCTTCTCTTTTCACAATATCTCTAATCAGAACTCTTCCCCAGTCCCCTACTTACAATAAATCTGAATTTGTCTTCTTCCCACCTCCACTGTAGCTGGGCAGAACATTCCCGAAATGCAAGTTTGCATCGACATGTTCAAGTCCCCACTTAAAACCCTCCATTAGTTCCCAATGTCCAGACTCCACTATGTACCAGTCAGGGTCCTTATTGATGGGGCCTTTCTCCATCCGTTGCTTTTCTTACCCTGCGTGCATGGCTCTCTATGCTCTGGCTCCATCCCTGCCTTATAGGAGTATTTGGAGGATGAAATTCCCTGAGCATTTAGCATACGCTCAGATGAGGTGAGTATTATTCCAGCAGAGGTGGGAAAATCTTGGTGGGCTTCACATGGCAGGTAGCATTGAAACAGAGCTGGCCCTTGAGGGGTGAGGAGGGTCTGTGGTGTGCTGTGGGAAAGCAGAAACTCAGGCAGGAGCAGAGGAGGTCAATGATCTCACCTCGTACAGCTCAGAGCAGCTGGGCCCACAGGTTGCAGAAGAGAAGAGTAGATGATTTCAAACAGGAAATGAAGCTAAGCTTAGTTGGATTTTGTTCTGTGGACAATGGGGAGCTATAGAGGATGCTGAGCAGGAGAGATGCCTCTCAGCCTCCATCATCTCGCTGAACTTACATAACAGCTCCTGACTTGCCTCCCTGACCCCCCTCTTATCCCCACAAGATAAAAGGGATCTTTTAGAAAAACTGGTACCCGGTCATCTCATTCCCTGCCCCTGGTCAGATATCCTTCACTGGCTCCCACTGCTTCTGGGACAAACACCCACCTCCTTTGGGTGCTGGCAGAGCCCTACCTGGCCTGGCCCTGCCTCCCTCTATAGCCTCCTTGTCTTACCTCTTTTAGCTCCAGCCAACAGCTGTTTATTAGCATCTACATAGTTGACACCCACATGATTTGCATATGATTTTTTTTTCCTGCTGGAACACTTTTCTTCCTTTTGAAAAATAATCTGCTTAATTTTGACTCATCCTTCACAACAGCTCCAGGCTCCTTCCTCCAGAGAGGCTTCCCTGACTCCCCCTTTATAAGTTCTCATAGTACCACTGAGCTCTCCTTTGGAACTCTACCCACAATTATAATTTTGCCTTTCTTTGTGTGACTGTAAAGGAGGCCAGCAGGATGTAAGTCCCATGAGCCTAGGAACTGGGACGGGGAACTCACACTCTTCTGTGTGTCCTGGCAGTCTGGTAAGTGTCTGTGATGTAAAATGGCAGTGGGGAGAGGAGAATGAGGGACAGAGCTTGGGTCCAGGGGATCTTCAGAAGGCTGTTGCTATAGCTCCAGTGAAAGGGGTGCTTAGAACAAGGACAGGTAAAAGGAAGTTAGAGAGGAGAGTGGTGATGGGATTGACTTAGAGGGGGTGACAAATGAGCAAGGTGGATAGGCTCAGTGGTAGAGCACTTCTCTAGCATGCACCTCGCCCTGGGCTCCATCCTGGACACTAGAAAAATAAATAAGGATACAAATTAGCAAGCTGGAATGGCAGAGGAGTTGTGACCCACAGGGTGGACTTGAGGCTGCTGCCAATAACTGGGACTTGGGTGAGTGAGAGAAGTCCTATAGGTAAGGAGCAGATGGAGGTAGTTGTCAGACTGTCCTAAAAGTAACTTGGAAGTGCAGAGTTGGGGTGGGGGGAGTTGGTTAGAATTCTGAGAGGTGAAAGGACCTTGGTCTTAAATCAAGGGCACAGAGAGAGGAAAGGTCACATCTCTGAACCTCCGATTTTCCTTTAGGGAAGTGGAGCAGCACGGCTAATCTCTTAGCATGATTTTGAGGCTAAATGAGCTCATTAGCTGCCTGGCACAAAGTAAGAGCTTAATAAGTCACCATTATCATTCCCCTCCCCCTCCTCCTCCTCTTCAAGGTACTTAACCACACTTCCATGCTAAACTCAGGGGCCTCTAAGAGTCAAAAAATAAAATAACCAAGTGATTGGCCTGAAGCCCCCAAAGTAGTCACAGTTTGGTGGACTGCTTCCTATGCCTGTTGCCAGAGGGGGCTGGGGCAAGTCCACCAAGTCCAGGAAGAATAGAGGGAATCTAGTAAAGAATCTGAGGTCATCCAGTTATCCCACTCCTCAGTCTATACCCAAAGATTTAAAATCAGCATGTTAGAGTGACTCGGCCACATGGATGCTTATAGCGGCTCAATTCAGAATAGCTAAGCTATGGAACTAACCTAGGTGCCCATCAACAGAAGAATGGATAAAGAAAATGTGGTGTATATACATAATGAAACATTAGCCCTAAAGAAGAACGAAATTGTGGCGTTTGTTGGTGAATGTATGGCACTGGAGACTATCATGCTAAGTGAAATAAGCCAATAAAAACCAAAGGCCGAATGAATGTTCTCTTTGATGCATGAATGCTAACACACAACAAGGAGCAGGGGAAAAGAATAGAAGTTCATGGGATTAGACCAAGGGGAATGAAGGGAAGGGAGGGGAGATGGGAATAGGAAAGACAGAAGAATGAATCGGACATAACTTTCCTATGTTCATATATGAATACACAACCAGTGAAACTCCACATCGTATATAACTGCAAGAATGAGATCCTAATTAGAATAAGTTATATATACTCCAAGTATATGTAATATGTGAAAATACACTCTACTGTCATGTATATCTAAAAAGAACAAACACGTTTAATTAAATCTAGTGATTAGAAAAAGAACCTGAGGTTATGGGGCTAGTCTTGGCCAGCAGAGACCCCTGACTATTCTAGGCAGGAGCACAGGGCCACCCTTGCAGATTCCTGGACATACCTCCTATTGAGGCACCTAGGTCCCCACCTGCATCCACCTGATTTCACCAGATTAACTAGGTTCAAGAAAAACAGCTCACCAAGGAGGAGCAAGTCATAGAAAAGGGCCCTGGTACCCCAATCCTAGCTTTCCAGGACAACCCTGAGACACCTCCCCTTTCTTGCATGGTCTGAAATGTGGGCTTGAAGAAAGATGTGGTCTTTGCTAGGCACAGTGGCTCATGCCTGTAATCCGAGAACCTTAGGAGGCTGAGGCAGGAGGATCAAGAGTTCAAACCCAGGCTCAGCAACTTAGTGAGGCCCTAGGCAACACATTGAGACCCTGTCTCTAAAAAAATACAAAAAAGAGCTGGTGATGTGGCTCAGTAGGTAAGTGCCCCCTGGGTTCAATCTCTGGTATCAAAAAAAAAAAAAAAAAAGGATGTGGTCTTGAGTGGGCAATACCAAGAGGGAAGACAGTCCGTTTTTTCTTTTGTAGTAAGAGGGAGACTCTCAGAATAAAGGAGGCAGGCAGAACCACAGGGGTCCTTGGGGTTCCAATGTGTCTGCAGGACTAAGCCCTGGGCTGAGGTCCAGGGGACTCTGGCTTGTCTGCTCCTGCAAGCCGGCCTGGACCTACCCTCCCAGGCCCTGGGTCTCCACTGTACCATCTGCCTCTACTACCTGCCCTGTCACCATCCTGATCGAAACTGCCCTAAATTTCTTGGTTCTGCTTCCACCTGTTCCCTGCCAGTGAGGGGCGGTCTTGGTTGGGGTCCCCACAAGAGGCCTAAGCCATTTCTCCAGGGGGAACCTTCTTCCTTTCCCTAAGGGGGGCTACTGGAGTGGGTGGCAGTGGGGGATGACGTGTGTCTGGAAGCCCATGTGGAGGCCACCAAGGGCTGCCCAGGTCTACGTGGTTGATGGATGCCCATCCTGAGGCCTCTGCTGTCCTCTCTCTGCAGTCTAGAAGTAGTGTGCAGCAGGGGGACCTGGATGGGGCCCGGAGGCTGGGTCGCCTGGCCCGGCTGCTCAGCATCACCTTCATCATCATGGGGATCATCATCATCATCGTGGCTGTCACCGTCAATTTCGCAGGTGAGGCCCAGATGCATGGAGCAGGGGGAGCCCCTGGGGCAGGGGCAATGGGTGGGTGGGGGGAGAATACAAGCAGGGTGGGGGGCATAGTCTTATCCTCTCATTCCAGAAAAGTGGACCAGTCCCCAGCAGTGACGACTGAGTGGGGATGGGCTTTCTGACTGTCTTCTGCCTGGGCAGTGAATCAATAGAAAAGGGTGTGGAAAGGGCACAGGCTTTGGAGCCCAATGGTCCTGGGACCTGGGCCAGTGTCCTGTCTGGCTGAGCCTCAGTGTTTTTCCTGTATAAAGTGCCAGGAAGAAGCCTCTGGAGTGGAAGCTTTTGTGAGCATCACTTGAGATAATGGATGTGACTCTGCTCTGTACTCTGGGCTGGAGCACAAACCTCCTGGCTCAGACAGCATGGGCAGCTCAGAAGCAAACAATGCACGCACAGAGATCCAGGAAGCAGCAACACTTCTGACCACCCAGAGGTGACCCAGTGAAGTCATTCCAGCCGGGGAACCCTTTTCAAAGGAGACTCTCAGCTGCTCATAAAGCCCATGTAGCTTTGTGAGTTCAGAGCTGCACCTCCCAGAGCTGCCCCATGCCCACACATGTCTCCTGGTTCAGTGATCAAGCAGATCTCTTCTCAACAGATCTTGCTTCTCAAAATGTGTTCCATGGACCAGCAGCAGGGGCATCACCTGGGACCATGTCAGAAATGCCCTACCCCCACCCACCCACTGAATTTTTGTAAGATTTTCAGTCCAACCATCAAATGTGGGAGGCACTGGTCAAGAGTGTGGAGAGCTCAACATGGGGCGGAGAGTTTGAGATTCCATGGTGGGACCAGGGACAATGATGGGCTTTCCGGAGAGGGAAGTGTTCAGGTTTTTGGTCAGCCTGCCTGTGTTCAGAATCCAGGGCCTCCACTTTCTCCCTGTGGAAATGGAAGCATGTTCCATAAGCCCTCTGAGGCTCAGTTTACAGCACCAGTGTAAAGGGAGATGGATGTGCAGGTGTGTAAGTGACAGGAGCATCCGCTTAGTGTCACCTTATGAGGCTTCATTCCTAGGCAGGATCTCTCCTTATGGTGGCAAGATGGAAACCAGCAGGTCTCATAGTGGCCCTAAGAGTGGCATACATTTTAGTCAGTCCAGTAAGGAGAGAAAAAAGTGCCTCTTTGGGGAGCTGGGGTTATAGCTCAGTGGTACAGCACTTGCCTAGCATGTTTGAGGCACAGGATTCGATTCTCAGCACTGCATATAAGCAAATTAAAAAAAAAAAAAAGGTCCATCAACAGCAAATATTTTTTTAAAGTGCCTCTTTTTCTTTTTCTTTCTATCTTTCTTTCTTTCTTTTTCTCTTTCTTTCTCTCTTTTTCTCTTTCTCTCTTTCTTTCTCTCTCTCTTCCTTTCTTTCTTTCTCTCCTTGGGATTGAATCCAAGGCCATGCACATGCTATGCAACTGCTCTACCACTGAGCTACATCCCCAGCCCTTTTATATGTTTATTTTGAGACAGGGTCTCACTAAGTTGCCCAGGGTCTCACTAAGTTGCCCAGAATGGCCTTGAACTTGCAACCCTCCTGCCTTAACCTCCTGAGTAGCTGTAATTATAGGCGTGTGCAAAAATGACTCTTTGTCGACAATTATAGCAAAAGTCCTAGGGCTGATTCTGATTGGCCCCATTAGTTTTCCCACTAGGAAACTACACTAAATCCTCAACTCTGGGACTTAAAGACCCAATGTTCTGTATTCTCTTCTTTCATACATGTTCTTTTCTTTACAGTTCAGAAGAAATAAAAGTAACCAGGGAGCCATGCAGGCAGAGGAAGACCCTGGTCAGCCACAGAGCTCCAAACCCACACCCTGTACCACAGGAGGACTAGATGGTGACTGCCAAGTGCCCACCTGTCCTCAAGCTCCGAAAGCACAACTTGGAGGGAAACCCCAAGTTACCCCACTGTCAGTCCATATCAGATGGGAAAATCTGGAGAAAGAATGGAAAGAAGAAAGGAAAGAAGGAAAGAAGGAAATTAAATTTACTGTGAAAACTATGAATAATGTGGTTTAATCCCAGCCTTTTCACCCCAAGGCTCTGGGTTTGTTCCTCGTGCCTGCAACTTCCCGGGACCTATGAAGTAGCATAAACTGCCAGAATGAGAAGAAAACCAGCTCCACAAATAAGACCAATTATGTAGAGAAAGCAGCAGCCCAGGCCCTTCCTTCCTTGGACAGGAGCAAAGATGTGGGACTTTACCTTTTATACTTTTCTCAAAAGCATACTTTGCATGCTCTGTGCCACATGCCTGCTGTGACCCCCTACCTGTGACTACCTACCACAGGTGAAGTTACCACTTGGCACATGCCCTCGGGCACATGCCCTCGGACACCCCATGGTGCCTTGCCCTGGAAAGAGGCAATGGCCACACACTTAAACCTCCCTTGCAGGGTGGAGGCACTCACAGGGATATTGGTGAAGGCAGGTACAGGGGCAGCAGGACACACTGACCTCTTCCCAAACTTTTCAGCCTCGGAGCCCCTCTGCTGAGGACTCTGGCCCCAGCATGCTTCCCAGGACATCTCAGTGTGCCTCTTGCTCCCCACCTGTGTTGTAGCCTGGGAGAGCACCAACAGGAACTTCTGGGACCTGACCCAACCTAGGTCAGCCTGTGGGGAGGGCAGGGCTCATCCTGCCGGGGCCTCCTCCATGATCTGGGGTGCAAGCTTGAGAACCTATGCAAAGTGGCTCAGGGGTCTGCATGCTTAACACTCAGGGTCCCCAAGCAGAGTGCCTTGGGTGGGGCCTGGCTTTAGGCTCCCAGCCCAGCCTCATCTGATGCTTTGTTTTTGGCCCAGTTTCCCTAGACATCCACAAGCAGAAAATGCTTTCTCTGTTAAAGCGGTTTGGGGACCACCCTCAGGGGACTTCCCATGAGCTTCCAAGCTGCTAGAGGTATTTGTGCTGCTTGAAAAGGAATGGGCTGGGTTGGATCTAGAGGTCCTAGACAGAGGAAGGGCTTAGTGGAAGGGTCCAGTCTTTGAAGAGTAAGGGGCCCCAGGTTTGGGAGATATACTCACATGCCCAGAGGAAGGGGCTGGACGCCACAGCCTCTGAGTTTGAGGATCTAGAGGGACACCTGAAAAGAGCTGAGTAAGGCCCTCTGCCTCCCCCTGTTCCTTGGCCCTGTGATCTCCCCACATTTCTCCCGGGCAGAGGCTGTGCCCACAGGGGCCTCATCTGCTCCTGGGTGCCCCCTGGCTTCAACTCAGACCTAGAGAGAGATGCCCAGGCTTGCCCACCTTGCTAGGGTTACTACCCTCAATGGGGGGGGGGGGGCAGGTTCCCAGACACAGCCTGTTTTGCCTGCATTCGATCAGGACCCACATGCTCCTCTCTGAGGCCTTTGCCTCTCAGAGGCTCCAGGGCAGAGCGGGTAAGCACAGAGACTCTGGCTGATGGAAGGTGCTCTTGGTGCTGTAGCAGCCCTGAACCTTCCAGACAGGGCCTGTGTGACCCCCGGGGAGGGAAGGGAGGCTGGGTGGATCCCTTTGGGATTGTGTGTTCCTACATCAGTTCCTTTTGGGGGAATACACTCCAACCTCTCCCATTCCTGAAGGGGGGACTAGTCTGGTTTGCTTTATGGGCTCTTTGAGACCAAAATAGAGGTATCCCTGTTTGTTGGGTGGCAGGGGGAAGAGGTGTGAACCAGAGTATTCATGTCACTTGGGAGATCAGGACAGGCAAGGGGAGATGTAAAGTCTACCGGCTCAGCCACGTGCAGGCTCTTGGTCTGGCATGGTCTCCTGGTAGGCCCTGGGGTCCCTAAGTTCAGCAACTCTGGGAGAAGAGGAAAAGGGACTGCATGATTTAGGGACAGTCCCATGGGGAAAGTGAGGCAGAGATGAGCTTCTGACTGAAGCCTTTTCCTCAGAACATCCAGAGCATGGCCACACCCGGGGCCTTCCCACCCTGCAGAATCTCTCTCTCTCTCTCTCTCTCTCTCTCTCTCTCTCTCTCACACACACACACACACACACACACACACACACACACACACACACACTTTCCTGCTCCAATCCCAGAATAGTCAAGGGCCCTGCTAAGGTGAAGCCACTAGCAGACAGCACCAGGAGTGGCTGAGCTGGAATGTTCTTCCACTCAGGTCAGAGCAGCCTGAGAGTCTTCTAGTGGTACCAGGGTCAAGGGAAGCACAGGGCAGGAGTGAGAGACAACGGAAGGAAGGTCTCTGAAGCCTCTGACCAAGGGCAGCCCGGCATCTCCAGGCTGCGCTGGAAACGGGAGGGACAGTGATCCTGCTATTCCAGCTCCATTATGGGTCCAGCCACCAGATGCATGAACAGGTGGTCCCCTGGCTGGGGGTACCGATCTAGCCTCTCCCTGGAACCCCTCCCCACTGCCATCACCACTCACACCAGTGACTCTGTATTTCTTGGCATGGAAGGAAATAAAGCTGAACACACATGCTCACCCTGCCTGTGTGTGTGTACTGCTGAGGTCCAGGGGTTCCAAACAACCAAGGGGGGAGCAGATCACTCAGCCTGTTGGTTCCCAGTGTTGGGAGTGGCCCCTGGGGACCCTGGGCACACTGGGTCTCCACAGCCATCACAAGGTATTTCTCTAAGGAAATCACCCATCCTTACCAGGCCTCTGTTAAAACTATTGGGTGATGCTGGACCCATCGTTGGCCTCCAGTTGTTCTTTCTGGATATAAAGAAAGCTCTTGGCTGGAGAGAGAGGTCAGGAACCAACTATGGCTGGCTGCAGTCACGTGCTGGGCTCTGCACACAATGATAAATCCCTGTGGCTCTTTTAATGTCCCATGGGGGAGGCCTCTTGGGGAGGTGGGCATGGGCAGAGCCCATGGGAGGCCACAGGGAAGGCAAGGAAGTGCTACCGGCACAGATGGCCAGAGGCTGGGGCACAGCGGAGTGGACCGGGGCATGGGAGCTGGAACCAGCTCACTGGGTTCAAATCCTGCCAGGCTACTTACCAGGAGAGTCCCCTGGGGAAACTCCTTAACCCCTCTGTGCCTCATTAACCTGGAAATGAGAGCATCCAATGGAATAATCCATGTCAAGACTACAGCACACCCTCTTCAGCTGCTGACCCAGACTCGCCCATCTCCTGCCGTTATGACAGAACAGAGGGCTGTGGCTGGTGTTTATGTGGGAACTAAAGATTGGTCCAGGTCATGGGCCTGTTCCCCAGTTCTCTCCCCTCACTGGTCTGTCTGCCTTAGGTTGAGCATGTCCTCAGCCCACCTCATGCCTGTCCATGGAGGAGTGGGCCTTGTGCAAATTTTGTCCCCTAGGGCTCAGGGTTTTTCCTAGTGGTTAGTCTTGAGTTGGCCTCCTCTACTTCCTGAAAGGCACTCCTGAGTGACCAGGAAGCGGCTGTGTGCACACTGATCTCATCTCAGGATTCCATGCAACTCAATTTAACAAGCACAGTCTATGTGCCAGCCTGGGGCCTGCAGTGGTCATGCAGAGATGAATGAGCACGGGCCCTGGCTTTGCAGATCTCTCAACCCAGTGAGAAAGGCCAGCAATTCAGTAGACACCATGAGGGTGTGGGTGGGTACTCACTGGAGCTCTGGCTGGAGCAGCAGGCTTCACCTTGGAGGGGAGAACAGGGGAGGCTTTCTCTAGGGACCCTCAGAATGGGCCCCCTCCATCCATCTTCCACAAACTTTTACTAAGCACCTATTATGCGCCAAACCCTGTACTAGATCCTGGGAACACAAAGATAAAAAAAGAGAGAAGTGAAGCAGGCAGTTAATTACAGTAGCCTTTCCAGGTCTTAAAAAGTATGTGAGTTCTTCCAAGGGAACTGGCCATTTTGATGTCCTTGGCTGCACTGGTCTGGCATGTAACGTATTTCTTGCCTAAGTGCTGCCCAGAAGTGACCTTTCCAAAGGCATTTTAAGCACCGCCTGAAGATACAAATTAAGATGCAAGGCCACCAGAGTGACACTACCGGCAACACCAGGGTGAATGGGCATCTGCTACCCAGGCCCTGTTGATGGTAACCATATCGGTTTATTGCCTGACATGGTGGCCTGAATGTTTCTTTGGCGTGATTTGTCAGACAGAACTCAATTTCATAAATTTAAAAGGAGCTGAAGGAAAGACTTGTGTTTTGGAATCAGTAAGGGAAAATTTGGAGCTCTCGTGACATAGGAGGCTTCCAACGACAGATGACTGTACTTCTGGTCAAGGGGACTCCAATTCCCCATCTATAAACAGGGTGATGATCCCACAGCTCTGTGGGGACCAAGAACATGAAGGTATGAGAGGACAAGAGCTGGGCACATATGAGGGACATAAATAACGATGACCTGGCACAGCCTGGCAACCCCTCTCATTCCAGAATCTGGAAGGTTCTGGGTCCCCTTAGCCTGATTCTTGAGTCTCAGCCCTCCTCCTCCCTAGCCTCCTTCTCTGATGCACAGGAACCAAGCACCCCAACCCTGTGCCAAACCTTCCATGCATCGGCCATGCAGTCTGGGGCAGGGCCCAGCTCCTCTCTGGGCCTCAGTCTCTCCATGTAAAGTAATGAGCTGATCTAGACCAGGCTTCTCATCCTGGTCACACCTGGGAATCATCTGTGAGCAGTCCACGACCCTGATGTCTGGCAAATCTGGCCTAACTGGGGTATGACCTGTGCATCCAGGTTTTACAAGCTCCCTAGGTGTTTCCGTGGGAAATGTGGTCCTGGGATCATTAGCACGGTCCCACAACTGTCAGGGAAGTGGAAGCTGAGGCTGCACCCTCATACC